TGAAAGCAAGGTGATAGATACAAGCCTTGGCAGAAGATTTCATTTGAACCATAGAGTTATTGTTCTGAGGCATGAAATATCAATGCCCACAGGATGTCTGCCCTATCTGTAGAAGATGGTCATCAAGCTGAAAGAACCTCCAGATATTCTGGCCTTTAATGGAAATTCTGTTTTAGTATTCACAGCTTTGTTTTCTTTATCCTGTGTGCCCTGGCCTGGAAGAACAAGCCGTGCTTTCCAGTCAAGGGCTATTGATTTCTCTCTCCCTCAGAGTCCCAGCACTGCTTAGCTGCCCCCTCTTCAGTTGAAACCAGAAGAATCTTGTCCAGCCCAAAGCTCCCAGGGAAACTGGATGACTCCTCAGGAGACTCCATCCACTATGAATATTGCTTTCACCTGGCCCTGCCCAGTTCTTCCTTGGCCTCAGATGCCACATGAGAAGATTTCAGTTAGCTTACCTGAGAAGATTTCTGTTAGCTTACCTGGCAAATTCCTACTACCAATATTACTAATTCTCTGTGCCTGAGGCCAGTGCCTTTCATCCTGGGGTGAAGGCTCAGTGAGATCTCTACTTTGAGAGCTAGGTTTACATTCCCTCTCAGTCTCTAGGAACTGCAGCCAGTGGGTCAGGGTGAGCCAGAGGTTTTAGGCACTGCAGAGACAGAAGAAATACAGGTCTCTTCTGTCTGGGGATCATCCCTAGCATTTAAATCAAACACTGCAGGTATCAGCCAGCCCTGAAAACCACCAAGACCAGGTAAGAGGGCCTTCATAGACCTTGGTCAAGGGCAAAGATACCCTTAAGGTACAGATGAGCCACACAAAGCTCTGTCATTTACTTGTGATAACATTTCTTTTGTGAAGCTCTCAAGGATGCTTTAGAATGCTCTAAGGGTAGCTCCAGCACTGTAAGTGAAGCTGGCATCCATTTATGCAGAGGGACAAGGAATGACCTCAACAGGCCAACACAACCCTGGGTCTTGCCAATAAAGAAATCGTATAGCATATCTGGTAATAGTATGACATGAAGGCGCTGCTCATGCCTGTCAACTAGGTGTCCCGTCACCTTGCCATTGTGCCTTTAAAAGAGAACCTAACTCCAATGATTGGCTTGTGTCTTGCCAATAGATAGATATATTCAGTAACAATCTCATGATGAGGGTAGCCTGGCCCTCAGCACAGCAAACATAAATATTTGTAAGCTGACTGCTGAATGGAATGGTTGAGTTACCCTGTAAGCCTTATTTTCCCATGTAGTCCTCAAGCAGAAGGATTAGGGAACCTCAGGATCATGAGCAGGGGGTAGTCTGGCTTCCAATGTCTACAAAAGTAAATGCTATTCCTTGTGTGGTAATAAACAAGCTATACCAGAGTTCATTAACCTTTGGGACAAATAGCTGAGTGCCTTCTTAGCTTAGTAGGCTGGCTTCAGTAGGGAACACACAAATGGCAGAGCCTGTTGCAAGAGCAGGTGGGAAGTGCCTTGTAGGGAAAAAAAGCAATGACCTTCTCTCTTTCTCCCTTTCCTTTCCCTTTTCCCCTTGCTCTTTTTTCCCCAAATTCTCTCTCTCTCTCACCTCCCCTTTTCCCCCTCTTCTCCCTCCTCCTCTCTCTTACTTCTCTCTCTTTCCTTCCCCCATTCATCACAGTCTCTTTCCCTTTCCTCCACTCTTCATCCCTCTTGACCCTGTTCCCCCTTTTTCCCTCCTTCTCTTCCTCTTCCTTTCCTCCCTTCTCCAGTACTCTATTTCCCTAGAAGATCACACAGGGTGGGTAACTTTTGTCCAAATGAAGCAAAAACCCAAGGACCTTTTGTGTGACATTTGCCCAGTTCCTGCTGGCTCCAATGACCCTACCTTCATGTTGGAGAATCCCTTTGTACATCTGTTGAGCTGGTCACACCTGGGGCCCACAAGTAACACTCAGATGCTGGCTAGAGCTTATGTAGCCGTATCTCACTTCTGGCAGGCCCTGTGCTAAGAGCTGTATTAATAGGCAATGGCAGCATTGGAGAAACCAAGGCCTTTTGCCTCTTTTTTAATTGGCACATAAGTCAAGGCGCTATCATCCCAGAATCCCCAACTGGTGCTTTCTAGCTTCTTGGGTATCAGTATGAAGCTTCCAGAAAGGCAGGACCTGTTAGTGAATGTGATTTAAGTGGAGCTGGGAAAGGGTGTGACAGAGGAAGAACTGGGGTCTTAGTTACCTGAGACTATCTGCTAGCCCCAGCCCTAGGGTTCCTAGCTTAGCCACTGGGAAAGAAATAGTCTTGGGCTCCCATATGGCCTGCTAGTCAGTGTCTTACAACAAGATCTGTATGACAATTACAGCTCTGGAAACTTGACTCATTTAATGACCCTTCCATATGTGCTTAGGAAAAGCCACCAGAACTGCCTGGGCTATCCTTCACAAGAGGGGCTGCAAGTGTGTACTGTCACCAAGCAGTAATTCTCAGCCACCATTTCCTCCTGGTCTCTGAAACCATTTGTCATTTCCTGTTTTCTCCATTTTCCTATGGTTCTAATTGTCAGTGTCAAACGGCAACAACTGTTTTCTTGGGGCTTATCTTTGTAGCACATTGATTCAGAACAAAGGATGGGAGCCTCGTCTGCAAAACAAAGGAAGCAGCCTCCTCTGGAGGCCTGGATAAGAATGCAGGCGCCTTCAGCCAGGGACAGCAGGACTTTGGTGAGAGAAGTGGGCTTCAGGGCAAACAGCCAGCCCATGGAGGACACTCAGACTCAGGGGGCCTACAGAGCTGGCTGTCAGCAACTGGGCAAGCACAGAGGCACTGTTAAGCTTTAGCCAGATATCCACCAGCCACTTTGGAGGTTCTAGAATGTATGCTTCCCTGGACAAAGACTTCCCATCACCCTATTTATCCTTGTGAACCTGGCCCAAGTCTACAGTGTTCTCTCTTATCTGGTAGACCAGGTGGGCTAGGATGGCATCCTTTGACTGCTGCCTCAAGTCAGCCTTTCTTTCCATCCATCTTCCCCTTTGCATTTTTCTTCCCTACTCTGATTTCTGCTGGGTCACACTCTTGGTCTCCATCTGCCCCTGCCTCTACCCACAAACAACAACATTGTGACTTGAAAAGTAATGACGTAAACAGGATGGAATCCAGGTGAGCTGGGACATCAGTGGCCATGCAGGCAGAAGTGAGTAGTGCAGTACATCCACAGTTAAAAGGCATTGCACTTGCTAGCCAAGTTGTTGTGGAGAGTCATTTAATCTCTTGAACCTCACATGTCAGTTCAGTAATCTGGGGACTGTAGATCTTTCCTGGTATTCTTAGGAGGAAAAACAGAAGTGAAAGAGCCATCTTTAGAAGTGGCCACCCGCCCAGAGAATCTTTAGCCAGATTCTGATAGACTGGCCTGGGCTGGACATGTGACCCACTCCTCTGGGTTATGACCTCAAGACAGGAAACAGTGGGTGTGAAGTGCTCAGGATGGTAAAACTGATGCACCCCAACCAACTCCCTCTAGACCCAGTGCTTTAATAGGAAGAGGACAGCTCTGTTGGTCAGCTGAGATGGAGCCTCCCTCCCTGCAGTACTGGAGCTCCACAGGAAGCTGCCTAAGGGCAGAGTAGAAAAGCAAAGTCCAGGCTGGGTAAATCGCTTATGCCATAGTCTTGCTGGTGCCATGTGTTTGTCCTCTCTGCCTTGGCAGGGACTAAGGCCAGGAGCTACTGCCAGGCTTGTGAGCTGGGCACATTCCCAAGCACTGACCTCCCCCCGTCCACTGCACACCAGCCCTTCTCATTGCAGAGAAGGGCTTCTATAAGCATTTTTTGCTGGAGAAACTGTCCATACACAGGCATCCCATATCCTAAGAGCCAATCTTCTGGCATCTCGGGTCACCAGGCCAGCAGGTGACCTAATGGTGTGTGCTTCCTGGCACCTGCCTCTGATGGTTGGCATACTGGCAACAGATTATTTGAGAAGGCAGAGAGAGGTGGAGGTGGTAGCAGGTGGTAAGAGAAGGTGAGTCTTGACCTGTGGCAAGTCAGACCTTCATTCCAGCCACAGTCAGGCCCTGCCAACATGATGGGCTCAGAGAAAGCTGCAGCCACTATGCCTGGTCTCCAGGTTTCATTAGAAGCCTATTTGCACTTTTCCCCTTGATCCCACGGGCTGATTCCCAACTGAGTGTGTGACATGAGGCCCAAGTAGGGCTCCTCCCCTTGAACACCCATCGTACTTTGAGATGAAGATAGGAAGTTCCTTCCCTACTTCATCCTGCATCAGGTCAGAAGGAAGGTAAATGGCCAGTGAGGGTCTGGGTGCTCTGTGTGTGTCTATCTGACCACATGGCCATCCAGGAACATCTGAATCGAGCTTCAGTACTTACTCCATAACAGTCCTACAAAAAGTGTGCAGTCACAAACAAATAGCCCAGAATGTGCTCTGCTCTAGCCCTAGCACCCCCAGCTCACCAACCATCCCTTGACTGGGTAATTTGAAGTGCTTATCCCTATTCTCCATTGCTTACAATCTTCTGGATATAGCTACTTTATCTCAAGCTCTCAGAGTGACGTGCCCAGATACCTGTTAGAACTGTGAGTATGGTTTGGCCAAATTAGAATAGTAAAAGACTGTCTCCTCCTTCCTTCTACATACTCTGCTTCTAATAATGTAGCCTAATGTTATATTTGCTCTCTTGGCAACCATCTCATACTGCTGACCCATCCTGAGCAGACAAAACTCCAGAATATCTAACCGTTTCTTTCTATACTCTTGCTATTACACCCTGTCTCTTCTGCCTCATTCTATGCTATGTTGCAGTTGGTCTCCTTAAGCCATATGCAGACTCTTTTCTGTCTACTTGTGGGATATTACTTGGGAGGGTGGGGCATGCATGTGAGTATGTGTTGATGTGTCCTCTCATGCTTTTGCTGTACTAAAGCTGAGTCCCAGATCCCTACACAGTAATCCAATGCCGGTGTTTCTTGGTATCTGCAATCTAATATGGCCCTTTCTGTCTTCTGTTTAGCAAGAGAAGCAGAGATCAGGTCCTACGGCAATGACCCCTAAACAGAGGAGTGTGTATATCACCGAGCAGATGACTCAATTTCAAGGTAAGCAGAAAAGATCAGTGTGCCCAAAGGAGCCAGGGATTTGGAGTGCGGTTCATTTTTGTATACAGTTTCTGCATGTGGTGTTAGAGGGACAGGGCAAGGTCTGAAAGTCACATCAGTTGTCCCCAGGATGGGGTTCTAACACTGAGAGCATTCATTTATCTCAGAGCACATTCTATCTCAGTGGGAGGCCTGGTCATAATCGTTCCAGTACCACTTTAATTGAAGAGATTGAGTAGGCTGAGTCTAGTTCCTTAAAGCTCCTGTTCTGTCATTGTTGCTCATTGTTATCTGGAGACAGGGTCTCACTCTGTAGCCCAGGCTGCTCTTAAACTCCAGTTGTCATTGTGCCTCAGTCTCCCAAAAGTACATCACCATCACCCCACTTTTATTGAGTAACAGGCCCCCTTGCCCCGCCCTGTCCCTCTCCTCCAACATACCTGTTCCAATTTATTTCTAATGGATTTCATGACCATTATCTCTGGAAGGTATGGGAATGAAAATGGAGTTGTAGATACTCTATCACAGATACTTATTGTATTTTTGTGAGGGGTACTTCCACAGCCTCCACAGATAACTAAGGATTCCTAGCCTGTATCACAGCCAGCAAATGCCGTTGATATTTATTGGCAGTGGTCAGAAAAAACAAGCTCCTACTTCATGAAACTTACAGATGCACCAAGGCAACCTGAGATAAACAATCCTCTAAACCAGTGCAATGATATGTAAGCCTTGGGCCCCAGAGATACAGGGCTCAGCCACATCTTTATTTCAGCCCCATGTTAACTCCACATCGTTGTTCTTCATTCTTTTGCAAAATACCATGCTCTTTTTGACCTAGTAGCATTCCTCTCTGTGCCCCACTGGCCAGGCACAGAGGTAATGGGCAAGCCTGAGTCAGCAGAAATGGGACTCAGAGGACTATCCTTAGGAGGTTTAGAATATAGACTAGATGAAACACTTATTCCATGCTATGGAAAGATCCTAGGCATAGTCACAAGTGAAGGGAGGATAAGATCTAATTATAGTGCCAAGCATAGGTTATAGAAGAGGTCACACAGGCCAAGAATGACACTCCCTACTTGACCTCAAGCAAAGTGCACCACTACCACCTGCCTCAGTCCCCAATCCACAGAACTCTCAGTAAATATGGGTCCTGGGGGCTATCACGATACTAAAGAGAAATGCATCTCCATCCTAAAGTGCTAAGGGTCTCACCTTTCATAATCCTGTTTCTCCACCACAGTCATCCCAGGTCTCCAGGTCTGAAGCTTCCAAGTTTTGCATCTTTAGAAACAACCTCCTCTGTAGTTCAGATCAGAAATATATGAGCCACTGGTCTGAATGCTGATACTGCCTAGGCTGTGAGACTTTGGAGGGAACAGAATACTGCCCTCACTCCTGTGTATCATATTTATCAGGTAGAAAAACTAAAGGAAATTGTTTCCTCTGTTGTCTAAGAGGCTGAGCTTTCTTCCTCAGGCCCTCCCCTACCTCACCCTTTGCTCCACAAAATAGGAACCATCTGTTGAAAATGGATAGTAGTCACATCCTACCCTCACAGAACCTTCAATACACATGAAGAGGCAAACAAATCGGTTGGCATTTCAAGTACAACATTATCTGCTCTTTGTAAAGCAATGGTTTGCAACCTGTGAACTGTGACCCCTTGGGGGGGGGGGGGTTGGCCTAGCTTTTCACATGGAATTGCATATCATATATCCTGTGTATCAGGTATTCACATTATGATTCTTAAAAGTATTAATGTAATATACAGGAGTGGGGACAGCAAAATTACAGTTATGAAGTAGCAATGAAAATAATTTCATGGGTCGGGGTCAATACAACATGAGGAGCTGTATTAAAGGGCCACAGCATTTGGAAGGTTAAGAACCATTGTTGTAGAGGATGCTGTGAGCATAAAGAGCTTCATTCCAGGCTACAGGCACAGGAAGGAGGGGAATTGGGAGGGACTCAGAGAGACGGTCAAGGGTAGAAGTGAAGAAAACATTGCGCCTATAGCTTCTGCCCAGTGACCGTAGCCCAAACTGAGGATAACTTTGGAACTAATTTCTATGTTTCTTTCCATGCAGCAGAACAAGAACAAGTCATCTCCAAGTGTAGGCCCAAGATAAGACCCTCATCCAACCAGCATCTGATGCCACCCAACACTGAGCTCCTTCAGGACAATCTGATTCTAAGAATATTACCACCCACAAGTCACATGGGTGTTTTCTCATCAACTCTGAAGAAGGAGCAAGTCAACACTGGCCTTCCATTTCCCATATCCCCAGGCTCGGGTCAGGATCCCCTAAATAGTCTTGGCTCTGTCTGTGCCAAAGCCAAGGCCATGCCCTTAGAAGTGCCCCTGCCCAAGCTCTGTATCAGCCCCCTGGGCAACCAACCCTTGACTCCCCACCAACTCAGCCTCTCCAGTGTGCCAATGATGTCTTCAGTGTTCAGTAATGCAGTCTGGACAGTGGGAGCTGCAGCTCTAGCCACATCTGTTTCAAGGGAATCACCCCTCAGCCAAGTAGATAATAGCATGCTGCAGCATTTTGATAGCAACTTCATCATCTTTGCCAAGGTACCCACGAGTATACCCCCAACAGCGCTAGCATTTTCATCTCAACAGGCTGTGGTCCAGGCCCATCAGATGGCCCCAGGAGCCAGTCCTGGCCAGAAGGTGCGTGCTGCTCTGGCCAGCCCCAGATTGAGCCTATTGGGCAATCAGAGCCTTGTGCAGAGCCCAGCACAGGGACCTGTGCCTGTGTCAAGCACGAAGTCCCTACAACAGAGCATGGCCAGCTGCTCTCCCATGAGTCCTATTCAGGGACTAGAGCCACCAAGCTATGCAGCTGCTACTGCTGCCACTAGCCAGTCCCCAGGTACATTGTTCAGAATAGACACACCCCCTGAGCCACAGGACAATGTCTTGCCTCAGGCCTGGTCCCCAACAGATGGTCTGATTTCACCATCATCTGCAGGCAGTGAGGTGGATTTCACAGAAGAGCTTTTGGATGAAGACTGGGTGTCCAACTTGAGGCTGATATATGACATTTTGGAACAGCATGCTGTTGCCCAAAATGCCACAACCCAGAATGCTGACCAAGTCACCCAGGGTGCTGAGGAGTTATAAATCAAAGCAGGGTGCTCTAGAAAGCCCCATGCTGTCACTCAAAGGAGTGACCTGAATCTGCAGCCAACTTGAAACTGGCCCCAGTCACCCACACTAGGCTCCTAGTTAAAATCTGAACCCTGACAGTACTGCTTATCCCTCTATCTACCTGACAAATAAAAAGCTGGTGATTTTTCAAGCTACTTGTACATATTTGAAAATTTTGTAAATGGTTTTCCTAATCATAAATGACAGAAGTATTTATACTTGGTTTTGTGGCTTTGTAAATAAAGTGGCGGCTTTGGTTTCAATAGAGCTGTGTTTATTATCCATTGTTCCAAATACGCAGACTGTGTTGTTCGCTCCAGTGATACCTTGCTAAACCAGGTGGCTGAGCCACTGAGATTTTCATGCCACGAGAGATGTGAATGTGACCAAGCGGTGTTGTGCAAACTGACAAATGCCAAATGGAAAGCCACTTGGTCATTAATTTCCACTCCATTACAAACTGTACTACCCAGTGTGACTCTTAATCTCTTGCAAGCCTTTAAGTCTCAGCTAGTTCTTTTCTAATGAGCATTTACAGCAAAAGTCATGGTATGGTTAAGTGTCCCACAGAGACACTCATGAAAGGCCAAGAGTGTCCTTTAGGTTTGATTAAGAATGGTGCAGAGATAGCCTGTGAGCTGAGCACTGTATGAGCTGGCCACCTCAAGGAACTAGAGCGTTCCCTTCCCTTTGTCACCTATGGTGACCTTCAGACACAGAGAAAGCCCCAGCATTAGACAGCTTTGGTGCACCATCACAGAGTGATGCTTTAAAGTTTGCTTTAAATCATGTGACACTCATTTTGATGTAAATCTCTTTGGTTTGGGGGAAAGTCTGTAAACATTAAGAGTTGATTTAGGGTTTGTCTTTAATGGTTTCTATTTGCGATTCTTGTCATGTATATTTAAATGTTTGTTAGAGAAAATCCACATTCACTGTCCTGTAAACTTTTCTCAGTGTCCAGATTTTGTGTAATCACATTTTAATTGCCACCTTGTATTTTGATTCTATATTTGAAACCTGGCATCTGTTTTGGGCCAGTGTTTTTGTTGTTGTTTTACTTTTTTCCTGTTTGTTTTCCTTTGTTCTGTAATAAACAGCCAGGAGAAAAGTGTCTCTGTGTTTTCATTTTCTTCATGGAACATCCAGTACTTACAATCCAAAGTTAGCTATAACTTTGGTGCTCCCCCAGGCTTCTTCTATTCTATGTATCACAAAAATGCTGCAGCAGGGTCAAAATGTGTGTGTGTGTGTGTGTGTGTGTGTGTGTGTGTGTGTGTGTGTGTAGAGTGTGTGTGTGTGTGTCTGTCTGTCTCACTACAAAATCCAGGAGTTCCCCGCCACCATCTTTCTACCCTTGTGGGAGCACATACTTTTTCTCCCTGGTCAGATCCTGCTGAATCCTTATGATATAAGTTAAATGTGCCTCCAAACAGAGCTGAGTTCCTTGCTTCATTCACTTGAGATGAGGAGGTGACCCCAGGCAATGAGAGAGATACTGCAGACAACAAACCACAGAGGGCCAATTTCAATTCTTCTTACTGAAAAGGCACCCAAAAATAGACATTGAGTAGGGCTGGCCCTACGATAGTAACATGTCTGACCCCACTGCTCAAGAAGTGGACTTTCACCTCATAGGCAGTCTTAAGACCCCAGCAGTATATAGAAACAGCTGTGCACACTTGCAGTGAGCCAAAAGGTCTAAAATCATTTCCCCTAGTTTGGTTCAGCTTGTACCACACCAAACTGTTCATTTGGAAACGTGGAGTCAGAAGAGTTCAGCAAGGGTGCAAAGAGAAGTCAGCATTGCCTGCTGAGCATTCCTTTTAGTTTCAGTTAGTCATTATACCCACTCCCTATAAGGATTGTTCTTCTATGTGAAGTTCTCCATTGTCACAGGCATACGTGCTCAAAGCCCAGACAGTACTAATTGAGATTTCCAGGGTATTTGTGCTTTATTTAAAAGATTTTTTGAGAATGTCTTGCTTGTGTACTGTGTTTACATCACATCCACCTCTCTCTTTGCACTCCTCTAACTCCTCACAATTCCCCTCCCATTCCCTCTCAAATTCATAATCTCTCCTTTAAACTGTATTGTTACATATGTATGCACACATATACAACCTATTAAAGCCACTTGGTTTTTCTCATATATACATGTGTTCGACCAGGAGCACATGGATTGTCATAGAAATATGTCATAGAAATAGAGAAAACTTCTTTATTTAAAAACAACAAAAAGGTACTCCTGAGAATGGAATTAAGCTAAAGAACTAAGACAGGATATGAGGCCCAAAAGCCCTAGTCACTAGGAGTCTTTTAAAATCATTTACATGACGTCTATGTTCTCCCACAATTGTACATTCAATCCCTTACACATAGCCGTGTGGTCAGGAATGCTTCCAGCCCTCCTCTATCATTGACGTCTTTTTCATTTATTAATCTTGATACCTATTTCTCCTCATGCCCAACTATCCCGCCACATTATCCATACATTCAGAAGGCCCCAGCTGTCCATCAGACAAGCCATAGAGACCTCTTGGGGCCACTTGCCCACCACTCTCTCTCAGTGTTCCATGGGAAGCACAAGTTGTGTGCCTGAAAGCTCATGGGTGCTCTGCTGGTTGTTATGAAACACAAGTCCAGTAATGATTGTACATGGTTATCATATGGTACTGGAAGATAGTCCTCAGAACCTGCCAGTCTGAAAGCTAGATTATATGCCCTGTAAACGCTCCTTTCATTCTCTCCCAAGATGCCTCCTTAGCCTGCCCAAGAGCCTCACAGGTCATAGTTGTCTGTCTTTCAGCTCTTCCAGTCCACTAAGATCCAAACTAAAAGTGCTGCTTGACACAGTATTCAGGTCCCATCTCACATCCCCAGAGGGCTAAACTTCCCAAGTCAACTACCCTCGCAAACTCAAGGCTCAGTCAGGCTAGGCTACAAACCAGAGTGGCTCCCTGATCACTTTCTGCTACCTGACCCTCCTGGCCTCATCACACTTTTCCTGTATCACTGACTGCTGCTTCTGAGTGACAGGTCGCTGCTTCTTAGAAATGTGTACCCCTACAGTGCTGCTATCACTGCTCCCTTTCACCTAGCCCACCAGCCTCTCCTCTGTAAGTTCCTCCCAAGGCCACCTGTATAGCACCAATTCTTGTTCTTTACTTCTCTTTCCAAGGAGTGCCAACACTGATGTCCCCTTTCTTCTCATCCCCAACCCAGAACCTTCTGCTCATTTCCTCCTCTCAAGTCTTCTTGTCAAAACAACTTTCTTGTACCTATAAAGCCCAAGCAAGCTGCTTACTCCCCAGTAGCAGGAGAGTAGTAGAAAGAGAGTGCCTCCTTCAGCAAAGCTATGATGTCCCCTGGATCCTTGGATCTTTGGATCCTAGGCAAGGGCAATGGACAACTCCTTCTCTAAGTTCCCCAAGGAAATGTTGTCCCTTCCACTGCTTATTCTCAATTTACAAGGATGCCTTCATCCTATTCCTATCTTCTGGGAGCACAGCCAGCATCACAGTACCCCAGCAGCTGCTCAGTATCTGAGCATCTCAGCTGAAAAGAGCACAGTGCATCTGCTCACTTCCCTGACTGAACTGACTGGCTCCCCCATTGGTCACTGATATGTTCATGGTTGTGATGAAATAGCTGAGAAAAGCAATTTAAGAAAGGGTTTATGTTGGCTCATGGTTTAAAAGGAGACATGCCATTTTTAGGGGAAGATGTGTTGATAACAGCATGAGACAGTTGACCACATTTAAAATACATTGTGCATATGTATGAAAATGTCATAATGAAACCCATTAGTATGTATAAATATCATATACTAATAAACCCTTTAAATTTTAATATTTTGTGAATTTTCTACATGAGCACTGTATTTTTCTCATTTCTACACATGTCTGTACCCCTCTCATTCCCTCTCAAATTCTTGACCTCTTCATCTATTATTTTATATATATACACACAAGCATAAATGTGCACATCATCTCCTGAGTCCAGTATGTTGCTCATATGTGCATGTGTTTAAGACTGACCACTTGAGGCTCTCTCAGGACAATCCTTGCCCCTGGAGAAAACTGATTCTTCCTCCCTCAGCAGCCTTTGACTGTAGTGCTTAATCTAAGGGTGTTTTGTAAAATTCCTCCCATCCCCTTGGTATATCAATTGTTGTAGTTATTATGTAGGTTTTATTTCAACAACCACATGGTTGACATTTCATGGATGCAGCATCCCTGTCATGTCTAGAAGACATGATCTAACATAAAGCATCTTGATTCTCTGGCACTTACATTTTCTTCCTACTCTTCCATGTTGTCTTCTGACTCTATGGTTTAGGGGTTGCATTGTACTGTACCAACTGAGAATGATTACTCTATGGTCACTAAATCTATGCTTTTTCACCAATTGTGGTTCTCTGTAATAGACTCTGTCTGCTTCAAAGAGAAGTGGATTTTTTTTAATGACATAAAAGAACTGTACAAATCCTGGGATATAGTATTAAGAATTCAGTTAGTTGGAAGTTCTATTGGTTTAGGAAAGTGTCAGTAGTAGGTTCTCCTCTAGAGGCCATGACCTCTCCAGTCAGAGGAAGTTGGCTAGGTTTACAGTACTGGGAATGAATTCCCTCATATTGAATGATTCTTCTTCTAACCTCTTCAGACACTGTACACATGTGGAGCCTATACATGCAGTAAAATAAAAAAAAACTACATAAAATAAAAATAAATATATATATTTTTTAAAGTAGAGAGAAAAATGCCCACATGCAGGGTAGATATTTTTACAATTGTCGAATCTCTCTGGATACACCATCAGGGACAGAGGCAGAGGTTTGTCTCCTAAGTCATGCCCACTTTTCCATGATGTCCTCTGAATCTAAAGTTATCCTAAATTCTACCAACTTGACAATTAAGAACAAGACTTGCATGAAAGGCCTTGAAGGCCGCTGAATTTCTCCCATCAATGTAATCTTGCCTAGTCGAGAATACCCACATCATCCCCACCACCTCAGCATCACACCCTTACAACCCTCCCTTGATTGGAAGTTCTTCCTTGAGAGGACTGGAGGACAGAATATATGAAGTGGTTTACAGCTTCTGAAGAACATTCCCAAAGACCTTCTACCATATCTAAGGAGTAGGTGCTTCTTCCACTAACACTTGCTACTGTCTCCCTCCAGACACTGAGTCCAAATACGTGGTACCTATGAGAAATCCAAAGGAAAGTATGTGAGCCACCACTCTCCCCCTCTCCTTTTTCAACAGGCTCAGAACACTTGAGAGGGAAATGTGTCTGGGATCATAGCCTGTGTACAATTTCTTATCTGTCATTTGTACTCCAGCCATGAAAATCATGGGATTAGAACACAGGTACAAAAGCATGTTGTTTTTGTTGTTGTTTTGTTTGTTTGTTTTCCTAGGATAGGTTCATTCTGATTCAACCAACAAAAATAGTATACCTGCATCAGGCATTATAAAATAGACAGAGATTGAGTCAGTTTGAGGCAGGATCCATCAGTATTATACTAGATAACCAGAACGAGTAGGACACACCCACACACACACACAACGGAATGAGAGTAAAAGTCCTGACTGACTAAACCCAGCATCAAGGGACTGGCTATCAGAAAGAGCAGACCAATACCTCAGGCAGGAATTGCTGATGTTACAGCCTCTGAAAAAGTGTTTTTTTTTTCACAAAAATTATCTGTTTGTTCTAAACTTCTTTCAATTTACTAGCTGAGACATACCCATGGTTTATAGGATAATCACTTTTGCTTAAATCACCTAATTGCACGTGTTAATTACAACTGCTAAGTATCTTCACTGAAACAGATCAGTGTATTTAAGTGAAAAACTGGCTACTAGAAGTGAGCCATCCTGACATGAAATGACCCACAAAAAGATCATTGAGACAAATGCATTAACAATAGAAGAATAATCAGTTTTGTTGAGGTCAATGAAGAAAATGAGTGAGGGAGAGAGAATGGGAGGGGGAAGGAGAGAGAAAGAGAGTCAGAGAAAGAGATAGAGAGACAGAGACAGAGAGACAGAGAAAACATGAATGAGGAATAAGAGTCCCACTTTTGTTGGA